AAGAGAAAAGAAAAGTACAGAGGTCCCTGTGACCCTAACGGCATGCCCACAAAACACCAGCTCCAAGCACACACACCTCAACCATGAAGACTGGCGGGCAGCAGGGTACGCAACCGCCACAGGAGGTCAAAGGTAACACGCGGGGGTGGGTAGCTGCTCTTGCCCAGCCCAAGGTTGATCACCTCAACCCCCTACCCCTGTGGGCAAACACAAGGGAGACACAGCCAGGGCCTGGGACCTCCGCCCCAGGGGCGGTGTCAGTTCACTGCCCACACTAGGACACGGGCCCGGCTCACACGGGGCGCACGACCATGCACTGTGCCTGGCAAAGGCCTCCCCGCACGTACAGGGCCGCTGTGGGGCACACGCACGCCCAGGTGCCCACCCTGAGCACACGTGGGAACAAGCGCATACAACAAGCATACAGCACCAGCTGAAGCCACTGACCGCCTCCCCCACCGCCGGGGAACCTGCTTAGCCCACAGCTGTGCGAGCTAGAGCCTTCAAGGGTGGCAGAGAGAAGGGGCAGGGGCACACTGAGGTTTGAGGGAGTCCAGTTCAGAACTGGGGCTCCCAAAGCCTCTCTCCAGTTCCAGCCACCCTCGTAAGAGGCCTAAGAGGCCGGAGGGGCAGGTCTGTTTCCCCGCTGCTGGCCCGGGCCCTGCGCACCCATCCTGGGACGCACAGGTGCACCCACCTGGTCTCAGGCCCAGCACATGCCTCCTCGTTCCACACCAACTTCTTGAGCACGTCCGAGCAGCAGTACTGGGCGTCGCAGGCGCCACAGCAGAAATCAGGACAGAAGTCGGGGGCCGGGGTTCCTCCACGGGACGCCACGCACACTTCTCCGCAAGCTGTAGCAGACAAACACACCGCTGCTGCAGCACCACCTGCTCGGGGCTGCCGGGGCCTCTCCCCTGGGCCCCGCCCCCGCCGGCGGCTGGCCTCATGATGGGACAGCGAACTCGCCCAGGTTGAGTCTCACTGGGCCACTCTCAGCTCTTGGACATTCCCTGTCCTTAAGGGTCAAGCCTAGCAGGGCCTAACTTCAAAGACCTTGAAGGCCACTCCACTGTCCACACTCCCCCCCACCCCCCAACTCCACTCATCCCTCAAGGCCTCACTGCAGGCAGCCTGCTGCAGAAGCTGCCAAGCCCAGCGACGCCAGTAACATAACCAGCGGGGACCAGGCAGCGGAGGGTCCTCCCCATCACTCAGCCCCTGCTGGACACAACAAAGGGGCTCAGCCCTCACAACGCACGCCCAGTCCATCACAGCCACCACGCAAGAGCCCACAAGCACTGAGCCCCGGGTGCCCAGGACAGCAGGGCCTGGGGCATCCGCTGAAGCCGCCATAGCTGGGATCCAGGCACACGGGCTCGATGCTCCATGGGCAAGATCACGGCGGGGGAACCCGGCTGACAGCAACGTGGGAGGATGACCCAGGGCTTTGGGTGGCCACAGGGTCTGCAGCCAAACGCCTCGGGCGTCCTCGGCTCCATCAGCAGAGACCCACTGCCCACAAGCAGGAGAGGACACCCTGAGGCTGCCAGCAGCACCAGGCTCAGACAGAGACCCTGAATGAGCTCCTTGAGAGGAGATAACTGGGGGAGGGGAGGCTGCACTCGGTTCTCGGCGGCTCCAGGCAGAGCTCTGCTCTGGGCAAGGCTGTGAGGCAGGGCCGGCCCGGCCTGCCCCCACCTGAGGCCAAGGAGGCCCAGGTGAGCCCGCCTCCAGCGGCCTCTTCCCAAGAACAGCCACAGCTGAGGGGCCTGAGCCAGAGGCTGGCCGGGGTCAGGCGGCACCCGTGCTCCCGGGTCCCCGGGTCCCCAGACACTCTGGCGTGGCTCTCAAACCACATCAGAGCAGGGCCTCCCACGGGCTCACTCGGGTGCACTGATTGTGGGTGCAGAGCTCCCCCTTCTCAGTCCCCCAGCCTCCTCCCAACCCCCAGAAAATGAAGTCTTCTCCGGGAAGCCACCCATGCCCGAGGGGACTTTTCCAAGAGCCGGGCCCAACTGCTACCCCTGAAAGGCCCCCAGGCTGTCCTCCCAAGTCTGTGAATCACCAACTCACGCTCGCAGTTGGGGGGGGGGGGGCGGCTCTGCGATGGGGGCTGGAGGCTGAGAGGGGACGGGAACGGCGACGGACACATAGTTCCAAAGCCCGGCAGAGGATCGCGCCCCAGCCTCTGAGACCCAATGCCTGCAGGTCCCGAGGCAGGCAGCCCCCTCCCCATCGTTCCTGGACGGAACAAAGGTGGCAGCTGCCCGAGCTCCGGACAGTGCCGGGTCAAATCGGGGTGTTGGGCATCTCACGGGCTCCGCCGACGGCCCCCAGGGCAGCAATGAGTCGGAGAGTGCTTGGCACGCCCGGGAGGCAGCGAAGAGGTGGTGTCCGCCCCCGGCCCAGGGCAAGACGGGCGCCCCCTCCCGCCCCCAAGCCAGGCTCACCTCCCGGAGGCGGCAGCAGCATGGACAGCAGCAGCAGCAGCAGCGTCCGAGGCGCGGGGGTCCGCGGGGCCATGGCTGATGGTGGGCGCACGGACTGGCGCACGGACGCAAGCTCCGGGTCGAGGAGCTGCCGCAGCCTGGGCGACCGCGCGGCCGCCCGCTTCCTCGCCCCGCCCCGGCCGGTTCCCGGAACCCCCGCCCGGGAGGGGGAGGGGTCGAGGGGAGCGGACGCCCCTCCCAGCCCCGCCAGCCCCACGCCCGGGTCTGCTTCGAAACTTGGGACCCGTTTCCGGGACGCGCCCAAGTCGCCTTCTGCTCCGCGGAGCCTTCTGGGGGCACCCCCAGTCCCCAAACTTCGGGCTCGGAGCCCCGACGGGGACCCCGCAGGCACCTACATCCTAACACTGGAGCGCCTGCTGTCTGCGGAGGCCGCCGCCCCGCCCCTCCCCTCCCGCCCGCCCTCCAGGAGGGCCACCTGGAGCCCAGGTGCGCCGGGCGCGCCTTGCGCGCCAGCAGTGCCTGCGCAGTCTTTGCTGCTGGAGGCCCAGTCCTGAGACTCTGCAGGACCCCCGCTGAAGAGGCCACCCGTGTGGCCGGGGCGACCTGTCCATGCTCTTGGTGATCCGGCCCCAGGGCAGCAGGCTCACCCGGCTGATAGCACCTGGACGGACGGTGCAGCGGGTAGCTCCCAGAGCACCACACTCCTATGCACGATTTCACATTTGTTTTGCGCCAAAACAAGTTTTTTTAAACAAGATTATTATTTTTTTATTTTAAAGGGAGAGCATCGGAGAGGGAGACAGATCTTGCATCCCCTGGCTCATTCCTCAAAAGGCTACAACAGCCAGGGTTGGGCCAGGAGCCAGGAAAGGAACTCCACCCAGGTCTCCCACGTGTGTGGCTGGGGCCCGAGCACTTGGGCCATCTTCTACTGCTTTCCCAGGCACATTAGCAGTGAGCTGGAGAGGAAGTGGAGCAGCCCAGACTTGGACCAGTGCCCATGTGGCATGCTGGTGTCCTGGGTGGCGACTTAATGTGCTGTACTGGCCCTTTTTAAAGCCCCCTTGTACTAGGCCAGCTCCTGGCCCAGGGCTGACCACTGCCACTGTCCCCACTGTGAAGCAAGGATGCGGCTGCTTCTGTTCATGCCCAGGGGTCCTGACCTGCGCCCACCTTGCACCCCGTACTATCAGTGCAGCATACTCCAGGCCCCCGAGTCTGCGTGTACCCTCCTGCACCATGTGCCTGGGCCCATTTCTAGTGGGGGGGATGGGGCATCCTGTGGACAAAGCGCCATATCTGTGGGACACCCTGGGGTAAGTGTGGATTCTATCCTGCATCAGCCACAGACTTGGTCTCTTGTCCCGTGGTGTTCCAGTCCACCCTGTCTCCCGCCCACAGGGGATTACAGAAACGAGGTGGGAGGTGGGAGGCCCGTAGAGGAGGGGGCTGCCCTCCTGCCTTGGCCCTGTCGGCCCAGGATTGACAAGGGCTCCCATGGTGCTTGGCCTAGGGAGCTCCCCACCCCACCCACAGCCCTGGGAGCAGCATTTCCAAGCTGCCTGCTGCTGGAACCTTTGTGTCCTATGCTGGTGGGAATCGGCGTGGGAACAAAGCAGCACCCGGCGATGCTCAGGCGGCCCAGTGCCGGATGGAGTGCTGACCTGTGTGGATTCAGCTGGTCAAGACCCTCCCTCAGCCCCCTGAGCCCCTTTCGTCCGTCTCAGAGGACAGACGTGCCACACGCACCCTTTCCCAGTCTGCTTTGTGCCAGAGCAGGGCTGTGGCTGGTGTGCGCCCTGGGGTCTGGTGGGGGTGCTGGTGACCAGCTGTGGGGGCTGCAGCTGCTGTGCCAGCAGTAGTGTGCCGTGGTGGCCTTGGGGCTTTGCCCTCCAGACCCAGTGGTGACTCAGGGCTGCACAGGCACTGGTTCACAAACTGGGCTTCTGATATGGTTGGTGGGATCTGTGGCTTCCGCCTGACAGAGCAGTTCGAACCAGGAATGGCAGCAGGTGTCCAGGGAAGTGGGGGTGTCAGGACTGGTCCCCTGCCTGGTTGGAGCTAAAGGCAGTGGGAGTCTGGCTCGCCTCTGGAGAAAGGGTGACAGAGCTCCTAGAGTCACCGCCAGTCATACGACATAATAAAAAATAAATATTTGGTCTGCAGTTCCTACCACGGGAGTTCCTAAAACCCTTCGAGTTGACTGTCTAGTGGGATGGCTTCCAGCAGGATGTGGGCTGGTCTCCAGGAGACCAGACTAGCATGAGGGGGTTGCAACTTTAAGCCCCATCCCCAGCCTCAGTAGTGGACCTGGCTAGAGCTCGATTCAATCATCAATAGCCAATGATTTGATTGATCTTGCCCTTGTTTGTGGTGCAACCTCCATAAACCCCTTGTTTAGGGGGCCAGTGCTGTGGCACAGTGGGCTAAGCTTGCACCTATGGCAGCGGCATATGGACCCTGGTTCATGTCCCAGCTGCTCCTCTTCTGATTTAGCTCTCCGCTATAGCCTGAGAAAGCAGTGGAAGATGGCCCGAGTGCTTGGGTCCCTTGCACCCACGTGGGAGACCTGGAAGAAGTTCCTGGCTTTTGACCGGCTCAGCTCCTGCCGTTTCAGCCATTAGGGGAGCGAACCAGCAGATGGAAGACTTTGCTCTGCCTCTCAAATATTTTTTTAAATAAAAACCCCTTGCTTGGGCATTGCGGCACAGTGGGTTAGGCTGCAATGGGGAACTCCCATAGCCCATGTCCAAGTTCCCTGTTTGAGTCCTGGCTACTCAACTTCTGATTCAGCTTCCTGCTGATACACACCCTGGGAGGCAGCAGGCGATGGCTCAAGTACCTGAGTCCTTGCCACACACGTGGGAGACCTAGTTCTGGGCTCTTGGCTTTGCCTTGACCCAGCCCTGCATGTTGTAGGCATTTGTGGAGTGAACCAGAGGATGGAAGCTCGCTCTTTCTCTGTCTTTTTTTTTTTTTTTTTTTTTTGTGACAGGCCGAGTGGACAGTGAGAGAGAGAGACAGAGAGAAAGGTCTTCCTTTGCCGTTGGTTCACCCTCCAATGGCCGCTGCGGCCGGCGTACCACTGGTCTCCCATGGGGTGCAGGGCCCAAGCACTTGGGCCATCCTCCACTGCACTCCCGGGCCACAGCAGAGAGCTGGCCTGGAAGAGGGACAACCGGGACTAGAACCCGGTGTGCCAGCGCTGCTAGGTGGAGGATTAGCCTAGTGAGCCACGGCGCCGGCTCTCTGTCATTCTTGATTGAACACGTAGTGCTCCGTGGGGGACTTGGGCTCTGAGCCCCTCCCCGGCAGCTAGTAGGTGACCCCACAGTTAGTTCCACAGCGAACAGGCTTTTGCTGGATTCTAGAACCCCCACAGCGGGGCAGCAGGTTTTACAAGATGTGGATGCGATGAAGAACAGCATAGAGGAAGCAGACTGGTTCAGACCAGGTTGTTCCTCTGTAAGGGTTAAAGCAGGGGGACGTCCTTATTATCCTGACTGGCAGACTGGAATTTCCTGTTTTCAAGGAAAAACAAAACTGCTCTGTTTTGGGATCCACTTGGTTTTGTGAAGTTTCAGCATGAGGAGGGACACTGAGCGTGACGACTCCATTTGGGTGCGAAGCAGCGGCCGCCGGGCTCTGGCTCACAGGCTGTTCCCGAACCGCATCCTCCATGCGCTCTACAAGAAAGCAGCCAATCTGGGGAAAATGTCTTCCTGAGTTCTGAGTCACTCTTCTGAGTCATCCCACCTGCCATCCGCAGCCAGCCAGAGTGTGGGTGGGTGGCCCCCAAAAGTTTGTGAAGTCCTGAGATGCCCTAAATTGGACTGGGGTGAGGGTGGGGTAGAAGGGAGGAGGGGGGTTGACCCCTAAGGAGCTACAGGCAGAAGAGAACTGAGGACCATCTGACCTTGAGTGTGGGTTAAGACCCTAGGGCCAACTCTGCCCGACTCCCTGGGTGCCCCCCCCACAATCCTGCTGGCAGCCCCAGCCGTCCCAGAGGCAGCAGTCCCTGCTTGTGGACAGCCCTCCTGTCCCAAAGCATTCTGCTCTCACGCACCGCACCGCCAGTGTAGACGCAATGTGAATAACTCGCACCTGCCTTCCACAGCATTTCATTATCAACTGCCCTGGTTTTTCAGACAGGACAAGGTTTTGGCGGGTGTTTTTTGCCAGCTACTACCCACTGTTGCTGCTGGTGGCTGCACAAACTTGCCCCAGGACCTGTCCATTCTTCTTGGCTGACATCTGTAATGGCCCAGAAAACCTTTTTATTTCTGAAATCTCTTGGCCCAAGAGTTTTGGGTTTACGCTCCTTGGAACTTTTTTTTTTTTCCAGAGGTTGTAGCAGCTCCAGCAGAGCAGAGCCAGGAGCTCAATCCGGGTCTCTCACGTGGGTGGTACAATCAGAATTACTTGAGCCACCACCTGCTGCCTCCCAGGTGCACATTAGCAGGAAGCTGGAACTGGAAGCAGAGTCTGGGCTGAAATTGCTGGAGGTGGGGGAGGGGTGGGAGGGCATGTTCCCAGCTGCATTTGTTCCAAGTTCTTGTGAGAGATGAATTCAAAGCAAAGCTGTAGACCAAGTGCAAGAAGGGAGCAGGATTTATTAAAGGGGCAGAGAGAGAACACAACCGGAGGTGAAGACGGCAACCCCCAGAGGGAGACTCTTGCCCACCCGGCTTCCATCGCTCCTTTGTTGGGTGGGGGTGGTGCCCTGGTTGAATCTACAAATGGGGTGGGGTTTGATGACCTCCAGCAGGGTCTCATGGCATCTCCACGTGGAGCTCAACACGCACGCATTCATCATGGCGTCCTGTATGTGGTGCGGTAGTCTCAGGTGCATCATGGCAAAGTGAGTGCCAAATCACCAAGGAAGGGGGTGGGATTTTAGCAGAACAAGGGTAAGGAAGGAGACAGCTGCAGCCTCTTAGCTCCATTGTTCGCTAGCTCCCTACCTCGCCCAGATCAAAACCAGGCCCTTCATAGAGGATGCTGGGATGCAGGCACTCCACGCAGTGCCCAGCTGCTTGGCCAAATGCCTGCTCCCCTGCTCCGTAGTCGCTTTATGCACATATGTTAAGATTTATTTATTTGAGAGATCGGCACGGTGGCGTAGCAGGTAAAAGCCACTACCTGAAGTGCCGGCATCCCATTTAGGCGCCAGTCGAGTCCTAGCTGCTCCACTTCTGATCCAGCTCTCTGCTCTGTCCTGGAAAAGCCGTAGAAGATGGCCCAAGTCCTTGGGCCCCTGCACCCGCGTGGGAGACCCAGAACAATCTCCTGGCTTCGGATCAGCGTAGCTCTGGCCTTTGCGGCTAACTGGAGAGTGAACCAGCGGAAGGAAGACCTCTAACTCTGCCCTTCAAAAGAAAAACGGGAAAACAGAGAGAGAGCGAGCGAGCGAGTGAGCGAGCT